TTACCATACTTATATAGATAGAGAAATACTTCAATTTTCATCCAGAACTAACCCCTCGTCAAACATGGTTAAATCTCTTACCATACTTATATAGATAGAGAAATACTTCAATTTTCATCTAGAACTAACCCTTCGTCAAACATGGTTAAATCTCTTACCATACTTATATAGATAGAGAAATACTTCAATTTTCATCTAGAACTAACCCCTCGTCAAACATGGTTAAATCTCTTACCATACTTATATAGATAGAGAATTACTTCAATTTTCATCCAGAACTAACCCTTCGTCAAACATGGTTAAATCTCTTACCATACTTATATAGATAGAGAATTACTTCAATTTTCATCCAGAACTAACCCTTCGTCAAACATGGTTAAATCTCTTACCATACTTATATAGATAGAGAAATACTTCAATTTTCATCTAGAACTAACCCTTCGTCAAACATGGTTAAATCTCTTACCATACTTATAGATAGAGAAATACTTCAATTTTCATCTAGAACTAACCCTTCGTCAAACATGGTTAAATCTCTTACCATACTTATATAGATAGAGAAATACTTCAATTTTCATCTAGAACTAACCCCTCGTCAAACATGGTTAAATCTCTTACCATACTTATATAGATAGAGAAATACTTCAATTTTCATCCAGAACTAACCCCTCGTCAAACATGGTTAAATCTCTTACCATACTTATATAGATAGAGAAATACTTCAATTTTCATCTAGAACTAACCCTTCGTCAAACATGGTTAAATCTCTTACCATACTTATATAGATAGAGAAATACTTCAATTTTCATCCAGAACTAACCCCTCGTCAAACATGGTTAAATCTCTTACCATACTTATAGATAGAGAAATACTTCAATTTTCATCTAGAACTAACCCCTCGTCAAACATGGTTAAATCTCTTACCATACTTATATAGATAGAGAATTACTTCAATTTTCATCTAGAACTAACCCTTCGTCAAACATGGTTAAATCTCTTACCATACTTATATAGATAGAGAAATACTTCAATTTTCATCTAGAACTAACCCTTCGTCAAACATGGTTAAATCTCTTACCATACTTATAGATAGAGAAATACTTCAATTTTCATTCAGAACTAACCCTTCGTCAAACATGGTTAAATCTCTTACCATACTTATATAGATAGAGAAATACTTCAATTTTCATCCAGAACTAACCCTTTGTCAAACATGGTTAAATCTCTTACCATACTTATAGATAGAGAAATACTTCAATTTTCATCTAGAACTAACCCTTCGTCAAACATGGTTAAATCTCTCACCATACTTATATAGATAGAGAAATACTTCAATTTTCATTCAGAACTAACCCTTCGTCAAACATGGTTAAATCTCTTACCATACTTATATAGATAGAGAAATACTTCAATTTTCATCCAGAACTAACCCTTTGTCAAACATGGTTAAATCTCTTACCATACTTATATAGATAGAGAAATACTTCAATTTTCATCTAGAACTAACCCTTCGTCAAACATGGTTAAATCTCTTACCATACTTATATAGATAGAGAAATACTTCAATTTTCATCTAGAACTAACCCCTCGTCAAACATGGTTAAATCTCTTACCATACTTATAGATAGAGAAATACTTCAATTTTCATCTAGAACTAACCCCTCGTCAAACATGGTTAAATCTCTCACCATACTTATATAGATAGAGAAATACTTCAATTTTCATCCAGAACTAACCCCTCGTCAAACATGGTTAAATCTCTTACCATACTTATATAGATAGAGAAATACTTCAATTTTCATCTAGAACTAACCCTTCGTCAAACATGGTTAAATCTCTTACCATACTTATATAGATAGAGAAATACTTCAATTTTCATCTAGAACTAACCCCTCGTCAAACATGGTTAAATCTCTTACCATACTTATATAGATAGAGAAATACTTCAATTTTCATCCAGAACTAACCCCTCGTCAAACATGGTTAAATCTCTTACCATACTTATATAGATAGAGAAATACTTCAATTTTCATCTAGAACTAACCCTTCGTCAAACATGGTTAAATCTCTTACCATACTTATATAGATAGAGACAATTTTCATCTAGAACTAACCCCTCGTCAAACATGGTTAAATCTCTTACCATACTTATAGATAGAGAAATACTTCAATTTTCATCCAGAACTAACCCCTCGTCAAACATGGTTAAATCTCTTACCATACTTATATAGATAGAGAAATACTTCAATTTTCATCTAGAACTAACCCTTCGTCAAACATGGTTAAATCTCTTACCATACTTATATAGATAGAGAAATACTTCAATTTTCATCCAGAACTAACCCTTCGTCAAACATGGTTAAATCTCTTACCATACTTATATAGATAGAGAAATACTTCAATTTTCATCCAGAACTAACCCTTCGTCAAACATGGTTAAATCTCTCACCATACTTATATAGATACAAAAATATATAACCAAATCTAACCTCTCTTCCTCAAATAAACATTATTTAGCTGTGAACTGGCATCTAGTTTTCTCAAAGACTGAGAACAATAAGAAAGATGGAACCAGATGAAACAGTTGTCCTACCTTAAGATCGGCACCACGTCTGATAACAGATTCTGCTGTTCTAGTATAATCTACAGGTAATACATCATCCCACCCTATAAACTTTGTTTTAAATATCTGAGATTCAGTTCTGAAAAAACAAAACAATGAAAATTAACGAAATACAAATGTTTTATACCAAATGTACGAAAGCACATGTCCTAAAATCAAATCTTAGCCGTCAAAGTTTATAAACTTTGTCACAAATATTTTGAAATCTAAATTTCTATTAATAACAATTGAAATAAACAAGTTATCACAATAGATTACAATATCAAGGTCTCGAAAACACTGGCAGAAACACCCCAGCCAATAGATCTAGTGTTAAATATCTGTTGCATTCAGAAACTATAATCCGAAAATAAACTAAGGTTCCTACAAGGAAACACTTGGCTCTTAACAGACCTGGATATTTTACATTATCCCTATCCCAAGATAAGATTTGTAGGTTAAACATGAATAGCAAACCTTAATTCATACAACTTGTTTAACGGCTTTATGATCCAAACGCCGAGAGAACAGCGAAACTAAGTGTCTAGTCATTGAAGAACTTTGTTAAATAGTGACAAGATCAGGCCAACACAAGTAATGTACAAGGTTTGTATCAATTGATCTTACCCCTCTAGACAGCGTGATAAAGTTGAGAATTCAGGTCTGTGAATCATGGAGTGTAATTCTTGTGAAAGTTTTAACGCTGCGGCTCGAATTAATCTGGTAGATTTCTTACCAATCCTAGAAATATGAAATAAACATCATTGCAGTAAAAATATTATATATTATATTATAAACCAAGGCCCCATTCGCTACAGGTCGTGCATTTTAAAAAGTATGCTAATTTTGCTGTCCTGGCAACATTTCTCTCTGGGCACTGCCCGTCTTCATTGGTTGAATTAAGTGCAAAAAAGAAGGATATAAAATTCCATTCAGTTTATTTTTGGGACGTGGATAGTTTGATACTGGAAAGTAATAAGTATCACTTGGTTTGTATTTACTAAACATTTTGGAAACTGGGAATTAATCATTAATAATTATATCACTTGTCACTATCTAGATTGACTGCCTATCATTGTTAGACAGTAGAATATAGAAAGTTGTTAAAAACAAGAAAGTAACTTACCATATAAATATATCAGTTATACAATCTAAGATATAAACACATTTAGAATCTAGTAAAGATTGAACCAGTCGATTGTTAGGAATCTCAACTAAAATAGAAAAACACAAAAATTACTGAAAATTTATATCTTAAAAGACAATCCAATCAAAGTTTATAGATTCTAAAGGCTTCCTCACACCATAGTGATCACCAGTTATAAATAAGAATAGCCGTTATAAGTTTTAAACGCAACTCGTATGTTACTAAGTTTTAAACGCAACTCGTATGTTACTAAGTTTTAAACGCAACTCGTATGTTACTAAGTTTTAAACGCAACTCGTATGTTACTAAGTTTTAAACGCAACTCGTATGCTACTAAGTTTTAAACGCAACTCGTATGCTACTAAGTTTTAAACGCAACTTGTATGCTACTAAGTTTTAAACGCAACTCCTATGCTACTAAGTTTTAAACGCAACTCGTATGCTACTAAGTTTTAAACGCAACTCGTATGTTACTAAGTTTTAAACGCAACTCGTTATGTTACTAAGTTTTAAACGCAACTCGTATGTTACTAAGTTTTAAACGCAACTCGTATGTTACTAAGTTTTAAACGCAACTCGTATGTTACTAAGTTTTAAACGCAACTCGTATGTTACTAAGTTTTAAACGCAACTCGTATGCTACTAAGTTTTAAACGCAACTCGTATGTTACTAAGTTTTAAACGCAACTCGTATGCTACTAAGTTTTAAACGCAACTCGTATGTTACTAAGTTTTAAACGCAACTCGTATGCTACTAAGTTTTAAACGCAACTCGTATGCTACTAAGTTTTAAACGCAACTCGTATGCTACTAAGTTTTAAACGCAACTCGTATGTTACTAAGTTTTAAACGCAACTCGTATGTTACTGGTAATCACAACCAAATACAACTAGTAATCACAACCAAATACAACTAGTAATCACAACCAAATACAACTAGTAATCACAACCAAATACAACTGGTAATCACAACCAAATACAACTGGTTATCACAACCAAATACAACTGGTTATCACAACCAAATACAACTAGTAATCACAACCAAACACAACTAGTAATCACAACCAAACACAACTAGTAATCACAACCAAATGGTAATCACAACCAAACACAACTGGTAATCACAACCAAACACAACTAGTAATCACAACCATACACAACTAGTAATCACAACCATACACAACTAGTAATCACAACCATACACAACTAGTAATCACAACCAAACACAACTAGTAATCACAACCAAACACAACTAGTAATCACAACCAAACACAACTAGTAATCACAACCAAACACAGCTAGTAATCACAACCAAACACAACTAGTAATCACAACCATACACAACTAGTAATCACAACCAAACACAACTAGTAATCACAACCATACACAAACTGGTAATCACAACCAAACACAACTAGTAATCACAACCAAACACAACTGGTAATCACAACCAAACACAACTAGTAATCACAACCAAACACAACTAGTAATCACAACCAAACACAACTAGTAATCACAACCAAACACAACTAGTAATCACAACCAAACACAACTAGTAATCACAACCAAACACAACTGGTAATCACAACCAAACACAACTGGTAATCACAACCAAACACAACTAGTAATCACAACCATACACAACTAGTAATCACAACCAAACACAACTAGTAATCACAACCAAACACAACTAGTAATCACAACCAAACACAACTAGTAATCACTATGATGTGAGAGCAACTTTATCTACAATAATATACTATTCAACAGTAAGGTAACTAACCTTGTGGTAAATCCAGATATCCTTTTCCTAAACCAACTTTATATAATCTAGCGTCTGCTACGGGTACGTTAGTCATCTCACTGATTTTAATATCAAGATTCTCCGGAGGACCGTCAATAAATCTCCAGAATTCTGGAGTCTCCTGATTCTGTGCCAGGCTGATGATCTCTGCTTTATTTTTTCTTTCATTTTTGTTGATTTTTTCTGCTATTAATCTAGAAACACAGTAATATTAATATTTGATTGCTTTCAGTTGATTAAACATGGTAGTTGAATCCATGACCTTTTAACAAAAGGCTTTTATCAATAAATAAATGGGTCCATCGTTCACTTTAACCAAATGGCTTTTTAAAGGTGACAAATTTTGAACAAAATGACTTTTTAGAGGTTTTTAAAATTTTTAACAGATCAAATAGACCTTTTCATACAACAGTTTATAATGAGAATAGTTCAATAATTCAATCTCCAGGAATGTACGCTGCTAAATACTTGAAAATAAACAATCTTATAACAGAAGAAGGTAGGTTTTGAACGGATCTCTGCTCTTTTGCTTCGTCCAACAATTGTTTTAATTGTATTACATTGTTTGTTTGTTTGTTAAAGGGTAAATTGTAAACAGGCCAGGTCAGATATCAAAGATATTACCATCATTATTTCTATCAACTGCAGAAAGAATATTTAGCAAACTAACCTTGTTTTAGTCCGAGTAACACCTTTAGCTAATTTTCCAGACCAAATAAATATTTTTTCTCCACCATCCATAAGATAGACATGTCTAATATCTAAACTTTTAACATTAACAGGAACTCTTTCAAGATGAACAAACTTGGTACCAGTTGCTCGATACAGTCTATGTTCATATTCCTACAGTAAAATAAAACAGAAAAAATTTGTGAAGATAATTTTTACCAATATTCTAAAACTTGATCATTTTTATTCTTGGCTTTACCAGATTTACATTGCTGCAGATAATCAGGTGATAGATCAATGGCAAGGATCAGCTGTTGGACAGAAACCAGAACGCTTCTTTGTAAAATGATTGACAAGAGATTTGGACTGGAGGTAGGTAGGTAGGTAGATGACAAGTTAACGTTCGCTTCCAGCAGATGCTGATATCGCAAACTAGGTAGTTGTTGGTAGTCTTAGTAGTTGGTAGTTGGATTGTTTGGACTGGACAAGTTGTTAGCCTTGTATACCATAAACAAGCCGTTACCATGGTTACCAATAGAGAGTGACCTCTGATGCTATCCCAATTCTAAGCATAAAAACTAAACCACTGTCAATAATCATAAAAGTTTCTTCAAAAAAATGGAAAAAAATAAAGAAAAGATCTGTCATACCACATCTTCTACAGAGTAAAAACCACTAGCTGTTCTTCCTCCCTCAATATATGATACTCCATTAGGAAACATATCTAAAAATTCATCATCTTCATCATTCATTTCTTCTCTTATTGTCCGACATTCTGCTCCGAGTAAATTCCGTAGATTTACAGCATGAATAGCCGAACATGCCTTCTTATCTAGCTGTAATATAGATCAGAAATTAAAATATTTTACTACAAATTCTAAAACATCAGTGTATTAAGATATAAATCTGTTTGGAATAAAACTTACTGATCTAAAATACAATCTTATATATTTAAGAAGAGTAGAAGGTTTCTCAAATTAAAAGATTTATAAAATCTGTAAGAATAAGTTTTCTATTATAAATTACAAACTAATTTCACCCGAGTTTAAAATATATTAACTTACAGAAGCTTTCTCACCAATCCAGTACCAAATATTCCAATTTAAACTCTGAGAATCATCAATAAATGTTTTTAATATAATATAACAATCAGCTTCATAGAATTTACCAATCAAAGCTGAAAAATAGAAAAACAACTTTTATAAAGTTTAATAGAGAAGTCATGTAAACTAGAATTACAACAAACAAAAATAGTGGAAGCTCTAAAATTTATTAGGTAAAAACTGTAAACTAGAATTTCCAAAACTGAGAAAAAATATTATAATAATTTCTATAGAGAGAATCAAATAAAATAGAGTTTTACATCCTACTTGTCTACACCTGATTAGACTAATGAAGATCTGTATCCCATTAACAACAAAGACCCATAATTCCAAATTTTACCTCAAATAATAAGAATAGAACTCTTAAATCAAAGAATAGAAAAACTATTTCTTACCTTCCTCTACTTGTATAGGTACAAAGTTTTCAATTTCCCAACACGTTAAATCTGTTAAAATATAATTAACAATAATATATAAATCAAATTTACACTTTACAGAAGAGAAAACTTATACATTTACAAATAAAAACACCAAGTAGAAACGATCTGACTTCAAAACAAAACTAGCGGTAAGATTGTTTTGAGAATACCTGACCTGGATTTATTGATAGAAATGTAATTAAGATGAATTAAGATGAAATACCAACCTGGAATCTGGCCTACATCCTCGTCAAATATCTCACTATAATTTAAATGTGGTCTCTCTAAATTCTCATTCCATTTCTTCGGTCTAAAATAATAATCAATTTATACACAAAATACTAAATAGAAAAATAGAAAAATGGTTTGTACCCTAAATTAAACCCCAAATTCATTTCTAACAAATGTAGAAATATGATTTTTATATGTTTTTTTTTGCTCCAAAATATGTGTCAGAATGCACCTTATCAATTCCATTTTTCAAAAATTTTCTTGGTAGAACTTTCTATGACATTTCCTGATGTTTGAGATTCCACAGAGCTGCTGCATTTCAAATCTCAACCTCGACTGTTGTCCCTCATTGAGTCAGTCTGCCCCCTATTTGTACCCCCAGTCTTAAAACAGTGGCGCCACCACTGAATATAACTTACTTGAGTTGAGCTTTCTCCTCATCATCTTTACTGGGTGTGTCTAGTTTGGTTTTAGCCACGTCTCTCATACCCTAGAAAATAACAGAACCTGAATTAAAATCAGTCATAGTTTCAACTGATTGATATTCTAATTTTCAAAGGAAGTTTAATTTGTACAGCCTTTAGCAGACTTGGCCTTGGTTTATTTTTCCATCTGTATGATTAGATGGTTCTTCAGAGATAGCCCTTCCGACCTGCATCCACATGGGAAAAAGGTATTATTATTTTCTCCAGCAGGTTTAAATCATTGAGCCATCAGGGTCCTCCCCACTCTTAAAGAACGAGACCTACCCAACTGCAACAACCTAAAATAAAGGATCAGGGGCAGTAAGACATAAAGATAGTTTGAAAATTCCATTATGTTACCTTTAAAACTTTTTCACTCTCCTGTCCGTCTCTACGTCTTCTCAATCTTAATTTACGAGCTACAGGATCTCCTTTACTAGCTGGAAATATTCAAAACATCGTTCAGGGTTTCCTTTCGATAGATTTATAGTGATTTAGTCAGGGCTTTTCAAAAATGTCAGTTTAGAGGGGGAGTCGGTTTACAGATGATTGGAGAGGTTTCAATGTAACTTAAAAACTGTTTCCAGAATAAAAACAACTTACGTGGTGTTTGTCCTGTAGATTCAAGAGGAGCAGCTCCAGCTAGTTGTAGTTGATTATTTAACGAGAAATCTATATTATAAAAAGATAAATCTTTACGAAGTTCGGCAGGTTTCGGTGGCATGACTAAATCAGGGTTCTCACGTACATCTAGAGTCTAAAATAAACAAAAATTGATATTAACAAACATAATTACTATTCTAAAATAAGACAATGAAAATGTCTTCTCCTTTTAATTTGGACAGGAAATGAATTAATCAGATTAACTTAACAACAAGAACACGATAATAAAATATCATTGTACGCAAAGGAACTCAGTCACACTTTGTGGACTACTTTTAAACGACAGTGGTGCCAACTGGCATGTAATACATTTCACACTGTCTTTGTGAGGATTGTGTATCTGAACATGAGATGAACAATAGTCTATTAAACATTGACCTCAGTGTTTTCTGAACATAGGGAATAAAGGTTGTAAAATTGAATTGATGAAAAAGTACAAAAAGCACAGGCACTGGACATATGACCTAATACTGTCACAAAGCTAGGAATATATTGTATGGTGTAGAAATAAGACTGTTTAACTATCTATAGATACTCCAGGGCCAGTGATTTTAGAAATGTAAACAATACCTCTAATTCTGGTAGAAGATGTAGAATATCAGGTAGAGTTATTAATCTATTAGAATTTAATATAACTTCTTAA